GTCCATTGAATTTTAGTTACTTTACTGGTCAACTTAATAAAATCCCTATTTCATTTTATCTGCGTACCTTATTTTTTAATGAAAATATAACCAAATACAAAACAATAATCATCTCTGAACTCTTACAATGGTTAGTATGAATTTTGCAACTTTTCAAAAGTGTTATACGCATAAAAAATACAAAGAAAAAAGGTAGATAATAGTTAACACGAGAACTGTTGGCTGGAGTTATAACACACACGCTGGTAATGTATTGTTTAATTTAATAGCCATTTTATTAACATAGTAGTAAATAGTTTGCGTATTTAAATGCATTTCTTACTGGGTTGTAAGTATATATATTGTTATTCCAGAATAATTGAAACGTGTAGCTTTATTGCTGCCTTTTACAAGTTTACTAACTCACCTTAGTAAAAAAAAATCACACAAACCTTTTTGAGTCGAATGACATCCTTATTAAGCGACTTCTAATTGGTCGCTAGAAATACAAATTCATTAAGGAAAAACTATGTTGATAGCGTTTGATTTCGGAACTTTTGATTGTCGTTAAGTGCAAAGCTACCCAATGTGTTATCTGTTCTCTGTCCATCGAAACCCGATGACACTATTCAGGGATATTTGTTAATTAAATAATAACGCTATTTTCATTTTAGATAACTACAAAATACTTTTTAAAATATTTTTTACTAAACTACCCTAGGCGATAATGCAAGGCATTAAAGTAGAATATCAGAGTGTTATATTTTGGATAGAACGACTTTTTAAAATAGTATTCATGGCATGGTTTCAGTAAAGAAAAAAAAAGAGTAAACTTTTTTCTGAAACCCAATACTTAGTCACTGTTTTCGCTCAGATGAAGAAATATTAAATTGTGGTTGTCGGTGAATTTCGCATGAAGCTAGTTAGTTACACGACGGCTTTCCGCGCCAATTCTGAAGTGATAAACACTAGGAAAGACAGCTAGTCGACAGCACTCAGTGTCAATCTGTGGGCTGCTATTGTCAGACTGAATAATAAGATTTGACTGCCACTCTTATAAAAAAAAAAACAAACGGCCCTAAAGTGTGGAGCGCGATTTGTGTGTGTGTGTGTGTGTGTGGGAGGGGGGTATCGGTAAACGAGCGCCACTATACTTAATATCTACGATCCAGCGTTCTGACCATTGGGCCGCACTCGACCATCAATTTGAGAAAAAAAGTAACGTGAAGAATTATTAACAGTTTACTGGTCCATTTTACAATATTTCTGCTAAAAAAATAATTCGGGTTTCGATACCCGCAGTGGGCAGAGCACAGATAGCCCATTGTGTAGCTTTGTGGTTAACAGCAAACAAACAAAAAACATTGGCATCTACTAAGTTCTACACTTTGCACAACTTTTTACTGCACGAAACCAGTAATTTTATAGAACTTGTTTAGTTACGAAACAATTTAAGTATATTTAGTGTCAAAACCATGTTTCCTCTCATTCGATAAGATATGATGCTGTATCTTGCTAATATAGCGTTAGAAATTCTGTTCATTGCTATTGGTGGGCGTATAGGAATTAGAAGAACGGTGTCATTTGAGACATCGTGATATCTGTTTTGTGATGCTCCATTATAATTTAATATGTCCTGTTGGAGTCATCGGTCGGTATACAGGTAAGTGTCAAGCTCTGGAGAACGGGAAACATTGAAAATGTTCTTAAATTATCGATGAATTTAGTAGGCTTGAGTCCGTTTGCTTTAATCTGGTAGCCAATCCACCAGTTAGACGAAGTGATCCACTTTATTACATCCTCTGAAAAGTAAGTGGAATTATTATTTTGAAAACGTTCTTTCCTTTGTGTGTGATGTAACAGTAACCTTCAGTTTTCATTGGCTAGAAACTGAATAACATTAATAATCGCCCTATATTCTAGAAGTAACTGACGTACCCATTCAACGCACGGAGAAAACATAAGGCCCTCCGTGGGTAACATTGGGGAAGAGCCGATCCTCTATGTCATTGTACTCGGGCTCTAAGAAAATATGTCGGGCTCGGTGACAATCGGTCTAGTGGTTTACCGGTTATAAGCGTATAACTATAAATTATAAGAACTGAAAGTGATGTTATGTTTAGAAACAGGCCTATTAGTACGCTAATAAAAGCCATAAAAAGTTCTAACGTTTAGGTTCTCAAATGACAATTGTATGTATTTACTTAATCTGTCGTTTGAAACTTTTTAATCATTTAATACATTAAATTGTTAAACTACTATAATGTTATCTCGCAACTAGTAAGCGTTTAGATACGATGAAAACAATAGATAGGGTTAAAGTTTGTGATAAAATCACATAAGTTGCAGATTTTTTTCACATTTTCCTAAGTTTGTCTATTTCGGATTAAAATCAGAAGCATGTAAAAATAGCATTTCAAATCTATCTTTTGTCTCCTGTAAGTCCAAGAGGCTTTTCATTAATATCAGAACTCGTTAGTTGGGTTGAAGGATGAAAGACAAAAATGTCTCTTAAACGCTCTTTATATATGTAATATAATACTTTAAAAGTTACTGTTTAAACACCGAAAGCTGGAAAAGCATTAGAAACCAATAGGCCTAAAACTTTTCATAAAAATCACGTAGAATATATATGTTTTTTTCAACGTTATTCTTAATTTATCCATTTTTATCCATTGTGTGTGATGATGAAAATGTTTTCTTTCATTGGACATTGCTATGAAAGACATTTGTCCAACTTATACTTGTTGTAGCTGTTGTACTGTAAAGCTCTGTCAGAGGCTATTCGTAAGAACTACGAAACGTTAATTAAAACTACAAAACACCAAAGGAATCTCTTTGCTCAAAGTGTGTTTTGTAAGGCTTATTGGCATTTCCTGCTTTTTTTTTTTTTTTACAATTGGAGATGCCAAATAAAATTTTGTCACTGGTTTCTGCGGTTGTGAAACATTTTCAGTGATTTATCTGACACCCCATCTTTCATAGTTCCAAAGCCAAAATACCCATATAAGCACTAAAAAGCTATCTGAAAAACCTCTTACATTAAACAGCTTGCAGGTTCTTTTATTTAAACTAACATATTTGCAATGTGCTTCAAATAAAGCAAATCACAAATTTGCCGGAAACAAAGCGCCGCCTATTGGTGACAAACGTACTACTGTGACAGTAGAAATGTGCATGGTTTGTAGGTCAAACAATAAAGAAACAAGATATTTGTCCTGTACTGAGAGATAACCTAGAATGCTTATGTAAATCAACACCCACAGATATGTATTTTCCAAGATATTTGTAGCTTAGAACTTACTAGTTCTATTTGAACTCGGTTCGACTTCGTAGATAGTCGAAGAAGAATTACGATAACATCTAGTCAGTCTGACTGATTAGACTTGTTTATCATGGAAAATCCTCAGCTGGGACATCTTATTCACTTAAAAAAACCTCAGCTGCTTTGATTGAGTTGGAACAAGAGCGTAACACTTCATCAGTAAACTGACACTTTTCAAATTAAAAGCTGAAGCATAGTTTATATAACTTGATGAACAGAGACTCTGAGGCTATTTTCCACTGTAACCAACCGTGGGAGGTCTTGACACCGTCTTCATTTATTTTAGTTTAGGTTTTGATTTTTTGTTAAGTCGTTATTGCTCTTTGGTGACATTGTTTACTTACATATTATATTACAACATTTTGTTTTATTTCTTTGGAGAATATTCCTTTCGAGATTTCATGTGATGTTGCAAAAACGTTTCACTCAAATATTCTAGTAATCATGAGCAAATTCCAATGTTTTATATAAACAGATTTCTTTAGGCAAAATTGTACGTAATTCAATGAACTTTTTATTGTAAACCGTTATACACAAAACTATCTCAGACAGTAAATACAGATCAAAGTAGACGAAGAAAAATAGATTTCTCTTAATCATTTGAATAATTTTAACATAAGTCTGATACACTTTAATATCCATAGGTTACATTCAATACATTTTACCGAGTTGCACGTTTGTGTAACCGTTTTAAGTTAAGTCTGATACACTTTAATCTCCACAGGTTACATCCTATACATTTTACCGAGTTGTACGTTTGTGTAACCGTTTTAAGTTAAGTCTGATACATTTTAATCTCCACAGGTTACATTCTATACATTTGTACGTTTGTGTAACCGTTTTAAGGTAAGTCTGATACACTTTAATATCCATAGGTTACATCCTATACATTTTACCGAGTTGTACGTTTGTGTAACCGTTTTAAGGTAAGTCTGATACATTTTAATCTCCATAGATTACATCCCACACTTTTTACCACGTTATAAGTTTGTGTAATCGTTTTAACGTAAGTCTGATACATTTTAATCTCCATAGATTACATCCAACACATTTTACCGCAGTGTACGTTTGTGTAATAATTTAATATCATTGTAACAATTTCATTAAAATATGTATACATTTCTTGTGTGTGAAAGTAACCTACTAGCACGTATACGCCATTTTTATATGTCTTTGTTTCAAAAGGGTAATTCTGAACCACGCGGATTTTACATGCGAATAACCCAATTCTAGTTTGTTAAGATGTCCAAAAAGTTATCGGATTCCATTTGCAAATAATCTTCAACGATTATGAATAACATTTTTATGTTACTTTCAGGCGCGTGTTTTAAAGTTTATGTTTTACATGTGTTATTTTATCAAGATTGTTATTTGAACTTTTTTTTTAGTCAAACAATATTTAATGATTTTAGATAGTTAACTAGTTTTCTCACTAATGAAGTTCGAAGTTATTGTTTGTTATCTTTGATTTAACTCTGAACTGTTTACGTTCGAAGTGTGTCAATTCTGATGTGGTAATGACGAATGAATTACATCTCTCAAGGTGAGGTGTTATTTAATTGACATCTCAAGGTGAGGTGTTATTTATTTGACATCTCAAGGTGAGGTGTTATTTAATTGACAGCTTGCACAATACAAACTTTGTATCTCGTTTTAATATAATACAAAGAATGATTATTTTGTTCTGGTTTGACAGTTCCTGTTATTGTCTTCGGACAAGAAGAAAGACTGCAATATGAACTGCAGTAGGGCTAAGTTAGTCCCTGTGTGTGCCACCGACGGGCGAACGTACCAATCAATCTGTGAAATAGAACGTGCCAAGTGTGAGGGTTACCCTATCGAACTAAAGCATCATGGGGAGTGTCCTGGTAAGTCATCATATGTCTTATCTCTAGATTTTAAACTAATTACCAAAGTGCTTTATAAAGGTCATATAGTATATAGTTATTACAGATGCTAAACTAGAACTAAAAATAAGACCGTTGTTGTTTGTTATTAATCACAAAGCTACACAGATCTGTGTTCTGCCCATCACGGGTATCGAAACCCGGTTTCTAGCGGTATAAGTTCGCAGACATAACGCTGTGCCACTGGGGGGCTTATTAAGAGTGAGAAAATGTCATCGAAATTGAATTTTCAATCTGAACGGCACCTCATGTGCCTTAGGGTTAGGGTTACCTGTCCCTAATTTGGAACTGCGTACTAGAGGTAAGTTCTCTTTCCGTTACCACAGAATAGCGCTCCGCACTTAGAGAACGTGGATGCGTTATAACAGTAACGGTCAAATCCAACCATTCCATTATAGTATCCCAAGAGTTGGCGGTGGGTGCTGTTGTCCAGTTGCTTTCACTCTAATCTATCAACTAAAGATTAGGAACGGCTAGTGCAAATAGCTCTTGTGTAGCTTTGCGCTGAACATCTAATCGATGTAACATCATACCTTTGTATTTCATTTGTCAGATTGAGCTTAGTTTTAAACTCGGTTGAACACAGGTATAAGATATCAGCTCTTCATGTATCTAGTACACGTAAATAAAATATTTTAATCAGAATTCCTACTGGTAAATCAAGGAATACTCCCCTCGGTTGGATAACGTTTACAACTTTAGCGATAAACTTATGTGACGGTAATTAGATTATCGAGAATTAGAGTTCCACGTTTTACATGTTATAAATGTATATGTTTGTTTGTGGAATTTCCTCAAAGTTACTCGAAGGATTTCTGTGCTAGCCTTCTCTAATTTAGAAATGATATACTAGAGGGAAGGCAGCTAGTCAACACCACCCTTCGCCAACTCTTGGACTACTCTTTACTAACAAATACTGAGACTGACCGTCACATTATAACGCCTCCACAGCTGAAGGGCGAGCATGTTCGGTGACGTAATTCGAACCCGTACATTGCGAGTTGTGCTCGTGCTCCCTCACCACTAGCTCCTGCCAGACACTAAATGTGTGTGACCGTATATTTTCCATCCGCTTTCTGTGCACATTCATGTAAATTATTGGGTTGATTTTGAATAAAAATTGGAGTTGGATCAATAAATAGCAGAAAATGTTGCAATATGAAACATGTGAGTTTCGAGAAGCATTGCACAATACTGTTTTTGTGCTCCTCCTTCATTTGTTTTATTTTTACCAAAAAATGATTTAGATTAGAAATCATATCTCCCAAATGGGTGGGATGAAAGATTTTTAAGATTTAAGTCAAAAGCTAGGATTGGTATATTTATTATTTTCATTTCAAATCTTTTCTTGATTCTTGATAAAAGATGGCGTCTAAAGATGGTTATAGAATTCCTGCGGGGTCTTATTTTGTTCTTCCTGGTTTTTAAATTAACATTAAATTAATATTTCTTTCACATGCAGTTTCTGCCCGCTGCTTAGCCCAGAGGAATATGACCGAAAGTCAATACAAACATGACCAAGCCGTCATGTTTAAACCACAGTGTAAGGAAGACGGTTCCTTCAAAGCAATCCAGTGTCATCAGCTATCCGGCTACTGCTGGTGCGTGGATAAACACGGAAAACCTCTCTCTGGGTCTTCTGTCAAGCATGGAAAACCCAAGTGCAACACTCTTGGTAAAACTTGAACTTTTCAGTTGTTAATATGTAAATTTCCTTGTTCCAAACAGATTTAGAATAATATACCACACAAACTTATTATTTTATCTTTTGTGAAGTGAAATTATTAATTGATATGCCAACTGAATACTAGATGCAACTAATAACTACCCTTTTAATAGGTCGTACAAAAAGAACGCTATTTACTTAATAATAATTTTTGAGGTGAGTCGCGTGCCACGTGTACAGTACCATACCTTTAGTATGTCGTACAGTAACACATTATACATTCGTTAGTATCCCCCTTCACAAATTTAATTAGTATAAACATATTCATTAAAGTACTTTTAGGAGGTCATGTATAAGGTATATTATTCCTTTTCTTTTAACTTTCCTCATAAATTTAGTACTATATGTATAAAAATGTGCGATTTAATTATAGAACTATTTAGTTTTTGCTAATAACAGCCTTTCTTGAGGATTGTGTTATTGAACATCCTATAGAAATATTAATATTTCAAAAACACATAAGCAACTTGACTTTCCTTAAATGGTGCCTGGGATGGAGGGGTTGTCATACGAGGAATGGTTGAAATCTCTCAGATTGTTTTCTCTTGAAAAAAAGAAGAGTTAGAGGGGATCTGATTGAGGTGTTTAAAATTGTAAAGGAAACTGATAGTGTTGATGCATAATATTTTTTCATACTTAATGGTGAGAATAGTAGGACTATGGGACACAAATATAAATTTTGGCAGGGTAGGAGTCATCTTCAGGCAAGACAGTTTTATTTTTCTAACAGAGTGGTTGACCTCTGGAAAGGGTTGGCTTCGGATGCTGTGGAGGCAGTAAATTTAAGTGAGTTTTAAAAGAGAGATTGATATGTATATGAATGATAAGGGCTGGCTTTAATCTTTTTTTTGATTCGTTTATATTTTTGTTTAGTTTAGAGGATGGGATAGCCTAGATGGACCAAAAGGTCCCATGTTGTCCCAAAACATTATGTTAGGTTATGTTGAAACAGTTCTTTTTTTTTAGGAAAACGTAGTGATCAAGAGCGTTTATTTCATGCAGATCGCAAGAGAAAAGGTAAAATATATAATTGTTAATTTCCTTAAAGTAATTATAAATTATACTGTCGTACTTTCCACAAATTAAGCTTAGTGAAACTTTCTTCGCGTGTGTATACTCTTGTCAGTGAGATTATTACTTTGAAAATATCTAATTGTACGAATATAAAAATAGCCTAATCACTTTCATGCCATTGATCATGTACCTTTTCATATCAAAGCACAAGTGTATGTACCTACGAAAATAATTGGCATTTTCTTGGCCAGTTTAGAATTCTAAGTATATGAAAAAAAGAATCAGAAGTGGATTAATATATATGAATTAAAAACACGAGTGTTCTTTATACTAGGTATTAGATTGGCAATTTAGCAATACAAGAAGGATAGATTGAACTTATCACATGAGCTATCATTCTTAAAGACCACTTAGTATCAGATATGCGATACCGGATGTGTCCTATGGTTGATCTACCCGGACTGTGATTTTAACTTCTTTAGATTATTCATTGAAATATTGCAATGAGGGATGGTAACAAGCTATTGGGGAAAGGCTGATCATTAGGTTAATAAGCTGTATCTAAAGTTAGACCCATCTCATTCAACTTTGTCTGAATACAGAAGGCAAAGGTATGGATAATAAACAATCTATCTGTTAAGCACGTGGCCCATTAAGGCATAAAGTCACATTTGCTAAGTGGAATGATGTGGTAGTAATCGGAGCTTCAACACATTATAAAAAGGTTACCAATGTCCAAAATGATATGGAGGATTGTAAAAGTTTGAACTGTAAACGTGTGGAAAAGCCCCTGATGATGAAGCACAGAGTCCAACATATATAATGTAAAACTTCAGGTTGAGACAGACTGGGATCCATTGTTCAGTTCGGGTAGAAAAAGAACAACTATCCATTCCAGAAAAAGTGGACGAGAGGTCACAATGTTTAGCAGCTTTGCATGCTTGACTTTAAGCTGCTTAAAGTGTGGAATAAAAGTCAACTTGTTGTCAAAGAGTAATTTTCACCACGATATCTGTACACCACCTAGGTTGTAGTTTTGAAATATGGAAACAAAAAAGAAATCATTTGTAGCTGTTCACACACAAACATTAAATTGAGAACATTTAGAGGTGCCTCTCGATGAATATCATATTCAATGACAGGAAATTTGGAATCATATAAATATAGGTAATTCGGAAGAGTTCGAGGAAGTTGTTTGGTAATAGCATTGATCTTAATGCTAAAATGTGTAACACTTAAAACACAGCTTTAAAGTACCATGTTCCTGAGTGAATGAGTTGGTTAGTTTGATTTCACACAAGGATCTTTTACATAACATGTGTTTCACAAACATTCAGATATGGCTTTATAACCCATAGAAGTGGAGGTCTCTTAGAATACCGTACCTTTATGTGGTGTCAGATCACAATCATTCTTAAGTTAAAAACATATTACAAAGTATTTCTTCTTGAGAAAGACTTCCATGGTAAATGTTTTGGCTCTAATAAGAATGTCTAGTGTGGCCTATATCTTTGAAAGCCACACTAACTATTAGAAAGAGATTGTTTGATTCGAAGAACTGGACAGGATGAGCAGACGAGCATTAGCCATCCTTTCCAAGGTACTTTACAGACAACAAGTCCAAACAATGGGTTGGTAATTGAAAGGAACTTTGATGTCGTTATATATCTTTATCATGCTTTAGAAGAAGGATAACAATTGACCAATAAGGAAATATCCCCTCTTTCAAATTCATTTTCAAAAAATTAAGAGAAGATATAGTATGATCGGGAAGAGGTGACACAACATCCCATACTGGACATCGTCTGGTCCAACAGATTGACTACCAGACAAATGTACAGCAGCCATACATTCTTCCACTGTGGAAGGCCTATTATAGTTTTCCAACACTAAAACTGAAACTTTTACTGTAACTCTTATAATTTTGGGTTTAATGGCTAATAATTCAGTTGAGTAGTTGGAGAAGCTACAATGGTGGGAGAAGCATTAAAAAAGGATGCTTGCATTCAACTAGTGAATCAGCCACTTCATGAATGCAAGCATATAATATTGAAAAGGCATGAAGTATAGCTCCCATTCACCTTCCAAATGTTATCACAGAGATTCTTAGAACTGGTGGTTGAATAAATGTAGGAAGTGAACTTGTTTGATTATTTTTTTCTAACTTTGCTTCCTAATTTGCCAGGACTGGGCATTAGGTTGGTCTCAATAAGGTTTCTTTTTCCTAAGTCTGACATTCAGCTTAGCAGCTAGGTATTCCACATGGGTAAGAAAAAAGGGAAATATATCAGTGAGGTAAAGATGATAAGTGCAGCTGCAAGAACAATGTGACCTATCATATGGTAACAGTGTGACCTATCATATGGTAGGTAAACAATTGAAGAATCAGTATCTGAGAAAGTAATAAGGAAAGTTCAGATGCTTTCTCCAATTTTCAACAAGACACATGAGTTGGATGACTTCAATAAATCTTGCTGAGAATGATTTAAAAATAATTATGTGGAATTTTGTCTACCTTTCAATGAAAATAAAATAAAAACAAAGTGAACAGAAGTGTAGGTCAATGATAATAAATGTCAGACTCGGGAAGTACGGAAGTACGAAATTAAATCACCCAGAATGGTAAACAGAGAGATGACAGGAATATAATGAAATCCCTATTGTCTGCTTGATCATTTTATTATCCTGGTAACATAGTTTGCTTAGTGTAATAGTATGCCCAATATAGACATGGGTAATGAAAGTCTCCACAGACGTGGTAAGTGACACAGTCATGGAGGGAGTAGTTATTAAACAGTATTGCTATACTATAAACATATCCAGCACACAACCTTCCTTCTCTTATTAATGAAAGCTGCTAATGGGGACAATATTACCTGGTTTCAAAAATACTCTTTATAAGGAGATACATACAGAATGTTAAGAATTTATCAAAATCTTGATATCATCTATGTTGATGTAAGATCCTTGACATTACCATTGTACAAGTGTAGTCATTCTCACCTAGAAGGTCAAGGAGGTCTAGATTGGGGAAACCTTTATGCATTTTTGTCTTTATGGTAACTTGTTTTTAAATTTCAGATCTTGTTAGCTTTATTGTTCTCCATGGATTCTGCCTGGGTGGAAGGGGTAAATGTCTCACTGACCGCTGAGCATGATTCCAACGAGCAAGAACAAGTCTGTCACACAGTCTTCAATCTTAGAGGGAGATGTTCTACACCTGACTGCCACAAAGTCTTCACATAGGAATACAGATTGGAATGAATGAATGTTGTCTTCTTTGTTAGATAGTACATGGAAAAGACAGAAACTTAGCACAGAAAAAGAAAGATTATGCAGATGGAAAAATATATATATCTCTTTCCACTCTAACAGAATTGGTGGATAAGAATACAGAAATAGTTCCATTGTCTATCAGTATGCCAGCCTCAGTGTTCCAAGATATAAGATTGTGTTAAGAGGTTGTATTCTTTGTCCCATATTTCTTGTGTCATTTTAGTCATGATCATTAATAGAAAGAGTGGGGATATTTCAACTTGAAGCAGACAATTCTAGTTTAAAACTCAAAATTGATATGGTCCAATCTTTCACAGATAGTGTGGGTTAAAGAGCCATAGCAGGATATCTTAGAATGTAAAAACTACTGACAATTCAAACATCTAACAGATTTGAAATATGTTACCAAACTGTACATAACAGGCATGGGGAAAGGATAAAGAAACAATAAAGGTTATTGCCCTAGTAGAATGATATAGTTCATTATTCTGCACAGAGGTTATTTTAAAGCAACTACACTTTTGTCTTGGGGTTATGAGAGGTCTCCTTTAATAATGACTTCCCTTGAGTACAAAGTAAATGGGAGGAACCTCAATGAGAATTTCCTCAATGACTTTGACCTTAGTAACGGTTTACCGTTTTTGATCCTCGATGTTTCAATCAATATGTCTCTTCCAGTCCTTTCGAAATTAAAAAAGACACATTTTGCTTAACGTTTTAGATAGTGAATTCAGGATTAGACAAGAGGAATTGTCCTCAGAGACTTCGTATTGGAACTTCTTTGAAGCCCCACTCAAGTTTAGAGTTTTCAGTTTTACATAATAAAATGATGTAATTAGTGCCCATGTACCCAATCGACGTGAAATCCTACAATTGGACATGTGAAAATGTCAAAATGAGATATTCCTCCAATACCAGGATTCTATAGATGCTACATTCAAACACTAGTAATAAACTTGTATCCACATACTCGTTGATGACATTCGGTACTAATATATGACTCTATGTGACGTATGTGACCACTATTGACCAGCCAAATGGGCCTGAGTGAGACACCCATCTAAAAGAAATCAAGGCTAAAACAGTGTCTTGTATTATACTCAGCCCAGGAGGCAATCAACATCCTCTTCTCTTTACGGATCATTAAGCACAACAAAAGTAATGGTGGATGTTTGTTTCTCAGAAAAAATATACCACCCAAGCAGAACCTCTTCATGAAAAGGAATTCACATAGAGAGGAGAATACACAAAATATTGTGCGTCCATCAACATTACCTCTGAAGGGCGTATTTACGCAATGACTTATAAATTGTCTCTCTAAATAATTGGTTAGGATATAGTTTCCAAACATTTAGACTTACTTTTCTGTGTGGTTAACTCTTCATTTTATGAGGAAACAGAGCATCAAGAATGTTAACATTCTTATACGTAGGAATGTCAATCTTATGATAGTCACAATTTGTAATACAACATTATTTTTTTTATAAATGCAGAAAAAATATTTAAAACAGCCAATAGCTATCTACATGCTGCCCAACAGTTGTCTTCGCTCTTTTCAATGAAAAAATTTCCGATGGCTCAATGGCAAGTCTGAGGGCTTAAAACACTAAAAATCGAGTTTCGATACCCACGTTGAGCATAGGACAGATGACTCATTGTATAGGTTTGTGCTTAACAACAAACAATCCATCAAGTCAATGCAAGAAAAAAAGAAAACTATTGTTTATGTTACTACTGGTCCTTAACTTAGTGAGTCAACTAATAGCAAGTTAAGTCATCAGTAATACATATAATAACATTGTTATAACCAAAGAGCATATGCAGTGTTAGTTTTCTTTTCTAAGATATATTTGTGCAGTGGTTGACCATAAGCTAAATCAATTTGTATCTAAAAACTCCATTATTCTGTGTAAAGCACATATTTAGCAACCCTCTGCCACATGATCACTAAAACGTAACAACAAAAGAAACTTTTCTTACCTTCATTTATAAACGCGTAAAATGTGTTCTTTATTTTCGAGAAAAAGAATTAGTAAAAAGTTGCCCAAGAAAATAATACCAAACAAATAAAAATCAAAAACTCAGAAAATTTTCAGACACTGGCCAAATACTATCATATTTGTGGGTATACAACTCTGTGCCATTTCTGTTATACTTCCAAAGTTGTGGAATATTTCCCTCGTAGTTCTTGAGTATGAGCACTATTCATACTGATTAAAACTTCATGCCGTTTAACACAACTACTTTAAGATAACTTTTATCCATGACCACAGCAGTAAGTTGTGAAGAGATACATGTTCTGACACAAAAACTTGTTCATTTAATGTTGAACCCGTTTCTTTTAGCCATTAACCTTAGTTTCAGGTCACGTACATCATACTATCAGGTGTTTATGTGGCCCAGCTTTCACTTTTATTAAATAAACATTTTTCTCCCTCGAGCGAAAAGAACACAAAAATACTAAATTGGTTTTATGTCCACACTGACATCACAGCAGCAATCGTATACGTTACGAAACTACTATACTAGTTTCAACTAATGGTGACGTAAGTTTGCATGTCTCTTGATGGTGTACTGTTGATATACATTTTATACCAGCTTCTACTTTGGAGTGATGGAAAGGTAGTAGATTAGATTACTAAAGAATTTAACTACATTTAATATTAAGCCAGACAAATACAGTACTGTTTGAGATCTTCTTATCTCAGTGATGAAGTACAAACGTGAATTAAGTACAAGATGCAGGAACATTCAATAGTTACTCGTCGGATGTTGATTACATGTTGTTTATGTTTAAAAGTAACAGTTGTTATGTCAAAGGTTTGTAGATCCTTCTCTTTGAAATTCACAACTAAGAACAGAAGATGTCTTTTTTAATTCGGCCACCACACAGTTCGGACATCTAGTTTCCGTGTAATAAATTTAAATAGTCATAGTTCAGCCTCTAAGTAGATACAATTACGATTACATTAGCTTATATCACATTCTGCGTGTAATCTCTCTCTCGTACTTCGCATGCACCGTAGTTATACATATTTATTGATTACAGGTTTTAAAACATAGACAATGAATGTCATTGTAGAATGTCTAAACAACAGATGTTGTAAAATGGGTTAACAATAGACTTGTTTAATAATAGTTAATAATACTTAATAATAGACTTCTCGCTGTAAAATAGTTTAATAGCAGACTTAATAGTAAAATAGTAATGGGTAGTAATTACTCTGCCTGGACACTTTTACATCACCAAATGTACCTGCTCATGATGTTCTTACACCTTCTTGTGTTTAGAGTGTTGTCCTCGATGGGCTTGTCTTTTGTTTCAGTTATGGTACCCAGTACTTATAAACTTCAACTTAACCTTAATCCCTATGAGCCTGAGTCTCCGTCTTAGATTCATGGATTCTGAACTTTAGCTTTATTTAATGGTTTTGTCTTTATAGACATCACACAAACCTGTGTAGCTTCTTGCTCAGTGTCCTATTCATGAACTTTGACTTCAGTGGTAATGCTTCTAGTACGAATTTTTCAAGAAGAAATTGTTCTTCATTAATACTTGTACAAGTCGTTGGAGGTCTGTATAATTCGTTCCCTTAATACACAGATGATATTAAACTAAGAATTAGCCTCTGTGCTTATGCTGTATTATTTTTTGTAGAATAAGAATCTTGTGCTGTTTGACTGATTTAATTAATTAATTGAATATGGGTTAACTTCTATGATATATGGCGTTAAGCAGAAAGCTACACAATAGGCTATCTTTGCTCGACCCATCATGAGGATCGAAACCCGATTTTCAGCGTTATAAGCCCTCAGATATATCGCTGATCCACCAGGAAGGGCTTTATTAGTATTATGAGTTAGCGTGTGTGATAAAAACGGTTTCTGCAATGAATTCTTTAATATCATACCCACTCTCACTGCTTCTGTGTGCTTGACTGTACAAAGAGATGAGACAAACGTCAATTAAGCTTAGGAAACGAGTGCGTGCATGTTTAGTGTAGGTGGGTGCGTGGGTATGCGTGTTTTCCTTTGAATGTGTATGGATACTTGTAACACAGAAAAGTAGTAGTTAGACAGTATAGTTAATAACTTGATTGGACATGCGCAATTGAACGCATATCACAATTGCGTCTTTTTATAACCGGAATATATCTGTTTATATCTACCAGCTTTTTTAAATAGAAGGTTTCTTTATAAACAAAAATATAACAAAACATTACCTACCTAACCGTTCTCAGACCACAACTAATCAATTAAACAATCCAGACAAAAAGACTAATGAGACAAAAGATAAAAACTACTACTTAAACAAAATGTATAAAACCACAGTAATAAATAATACAAAGAATCTTTAACCAAGTCACATACCACCAGAGGAAAATGACACTAAAATAAATAAAACATATGTTCAGCATAACAATTACAAGTAGATTGTACTTGATAATACTAGGTATAACTTTAAATTGTTCAGCACACATTTATAATGTTTCGCTATATGTTTTCTTCTCTAAATAAAATTTTCTAAGTTTTTAACTGCTTTATGGAAATTAATATAAAATATGAAAATAATTATGCACAGAAAGACAAAAACATGAAAGCTTGCCCGTTTGTAGCGCAGTGGTTAGCTTGAGTACTTATACGCTAAAAATCAGGGTTCCATTCCTTTGGTGAGCATATCACATATTGTCCAATGTATACCTATGCGCTCAACAACAACCAAACATGAAAGTTTAGTTTTTACAATAAAAATAATTTTTCATGCAGAAATAAAATCGTATTTTTAGACATGTGCTATTTAAAGTGTAGTAAGAGGAGCTGTTATTAATGTTTTATTTAAGAACAACTAAGTATCTAATTCAAGAAAAGTTAAGCTAAAAGGGGCAGTCCCTTTTTAAAATCTGTTTTCCAGACTCTTGTGAAATAAACGGTTCTCTTAGCAAGTTTTAAACTGATGAGGACCTCTGCCGACAGTGATCCTGTGTGCTACTATCACATTTAACTTTCAACTTTGAAGTGGCTGAGATGTGTTGGAGGTCTTAAATATGTTCCGATAGCTCAAACTTGTAAATTCAACGAGAACAAGCACACATACACACAGAAAAAGTCAACGGTGAAAAAATGGAAGATTCGTTTACAGAAGGACATACTATTTAACGTTCTATTTGACATCTCTAACACCGCATGTCATACAGTTTCTTAATGTTTCTATGGAGTATGATTAGCAAGGTTTATGAGGCCAAAAAGCGCGACTTCAAAGAATTCCCATACAATAGTTCAGTTATTTTGTATTCTTAAAACTTACTTCATTCTGTATTTATTTTATGTAAATAACAAAATAACTACTAATGTAGTGAAACTATAGAGGAAGAGAAAACACTTGTTAAATAATGAAGTGGTATAATTTAGGGTTATAAAAATACATATAAATTATATACTTAATTTCAGATAGATTACCCTGAAGATTTATATCCATTATATTATTTTCAGATAAAATATTATAAATATCATTATCTTAAGTGATAAAAAGTTAAGATATTATTTTTATTAATTCCAACTATTTCAATGAAAAAAATATTTTATATACTGTCATTCACTTTTAACGTGGAAGAAACGTTTGTTCTTTATTTTAAATACATAAAAAAACTCTTATGAAAATATATCATTTTTGTGTAAAGTACCACAATTTATCATTTTACGAAACATTTATTATTCATTTACAATAGTTCTTATAACTCTGGCTTTCGCTATTTTTATCTATATCTCCGTACGATTGCTATAATAGTTTCATACAGGCCACTTATGATAAATTCAAGTTTCACTGTAATAACTTTGGTTAAAATGCAAATAAGATAACTTAATTGAAATGAAGTATTCAAATCACTATCGAAAAAATCAAATAAAACTAAAATTAAATCTGTAAGTAAATATCAAATTGATTTATTTTAAATGACAGGCTTTTGTTGACTTAAAAAAAAACTGCTAGTAAATCATAAAATTAATTTACAATCGTGAGATATTAATTGCATAACATGTGTTTCGAAAATTATTTACATCACCGAAAGCTGAAACATCAGTATCAAAATACACCTTTTGTTTGGATATGAAATAAGATAGTTTGAAATTGACTTTGATTTGAAGTTATAAAATTATCTCAAGTTACCAAAGTGTTTCAAATTTTCTCTTATGATTTAATTGTGATATTTAAGATCTTCTGTTTGTGTGTGTTTATAAATAACACTTGAATGCAAAACACCTTTTTAATTTCTTGTGAAAAGCGAGAATAATAAATTTTATTTTATGTTTCTTGATCGTCAACCTGTGCCTGCATAATGCGAATTAAAATGAGAGTTCATAAGTCCTTTAGATGCATATTTTAATATACAATAAACTTTATAAACCCTCTCTCTCTCTCTAAGTGTGCAGTAATACAGACAGAACAACCTTCCACAAAAACCTAGTGAACATCTTTCGATCTGAATACAAGCGACTGCTCTGGTCCCAAGATAATGGTAAGTTAAGTAGTTTTTAAAAAGCTTATTATCCTTGATGAACCAGAAAATTAACTGAACTGACACTAAGAAGTGAGAGCTAGAAACTATGCTGTGTTTAAGTGTTTAATAGGCACATTACTTAACAATCATATCTGATACAAATATACTTAACTTTACAGAGTTAAATATTTAAAGAGACGATTTACATTTGATTTCTGATTAGAACTGCCATTTTGGTTTTAATATTTCCGTTTCTCTAATGAACAAACGTTTCCTTATGAGACCCCAAGGCTGATTCTGGGAGCAAGCACGTGATTCAATGGAAGTTTCGCCAACTCGACTCTAACCGAGATAATACGCTCAGAAGAAAAGAATTTGGTGATCTACGACGAATGGCCAAAAAGATCGTGGAGCCTCGCCTGTGTGCTATAACGTTTGCGAGACACTGTGATTTTAATCAAGATAAGATCATTTCTCTTAGCGAATGGACGTCATGCCTTACGATGGACATTAGTCGTAAGTTTTCTGGTTTGTTTTTAATATAATTAGTAGGCTAATAATGCAGTTATTTTTAATAAATTTTGATTTCTAGTATGGCTTAATATGGAAAAACTGTTCTGAATAATTATATATATATATATACATATATACACACACACAAACCCAGTTGAAGAAAATATTCAAATTAGATAAGCCCTATTAAATCCCCCAGTGGCTCAGTGGTAAATCTGAAGGCTTATAATGGTAAAAACGGGGTTTCGATACCCGTGGTAGGCACAGCACAGAGAACCCATTGTGTAACTTTGTGCTGAACAACAAACAAATAAATAAACCGTTTTAAAATGTATCAGAACAACGCTATTGCACACTGTCGCTATTCTACAGTATTCGGAATAGCACCAAACTGGTCCTATCACACTAGAGTACAAGGTTCTCATCCTACGGTGAGGGACGATTTCATAATATCCAATCTGACACACTGTCGCTATTCTACAGTATTCAGCAGATTGGATATTATGAAATCGTCCCTCACCGTAGGATGAGAACCTTGTACTTTAGTGTGATAGGACCAGTTTGGTGTGTATGTAAAATATATAAGCGCAGCTATTGTTTCCTTTTATACCAACTGTGTCAATTATTGAAATATTTTCCAAACGCTTTGTCATCAGTAAGGATACTTTTATTTATTTTTTCTGGAAAAGTCTGAGCAATAACAACTAGGAGTATTATTAGTGATTTTAGAATACAACGACACTTTAAAGAAACTATGTATTATGTTAAAATTTACTGTTCTTTCATATAGATCACCTCACCACTGGTGATAATTCAAAAGGAAGATATATTACAGAGGGTGCACTGTTTACTTTTGGGGGGATTTCTTAAAAAAAACATAGATTAGCATGGACGTAATCATTAATGTTATAGCATAACCACAGTTTTCACCTTAAGCTAAAACACACAACGTACGTCTAATTAAACTTATCTCGAAATAGTATTATCAGAAAGTATGGAGTATATGAAGCTTTGTGATTTTTTTCTGTTAAAGTAGTATTTTTTGTAAGGGGTAATTGTGTGACACTGCAACAAGCAACTGGAAGAAGACCGTAATTTTCCCATAGAACCATCTTAGCTCCTTCTTTGTAGGACTAAAAAATCGAAAACGTAGTTCGAAATGACTTAAAATTTATCACCTTTTATGACTATTTATATAAAAAAAAAGCTAGAGATTTATGACTATTTCTAATCACGCATTTTACGACGTGTTTTAAAATGTGATATCGCTATCAAATTTTGGTGCATCATCACTTTCAAACAAGAAGATAGTGAAAGCACGCAGCTCAAAATATTTGTCTCAGGAAGACGACCATCATGGTACTTTCAAGTAAACCTAAAACGCTTTAACCTGACAAGAGCTTTTCTAAATTAACGAAAAAACACACACTTTGGAAAAAAAATATTAGTACAATTTTTTATTTTTCTTAATTTAGCTAACGTACTCGGTATTGTGCATTTTACACTAATTTCTCTGATGTTGGACAATAGAGGACGCTATAATAATAATATAATGTTTGTTTCAAATTCTGTGACGAGGAACCCACTTTGAGACTAATAATGGCTGGAGACGGCTTGAATGGGTAATGAAGAAAAACTTTAATATAAGTTTAACATAACAGTACATGTACAACGTTTCGACAAGGTTTTGATGATGTGAGGTCAAAGCTACACAATGGGCTACCAGTGGTATGCCACCACGAGTATCGAAATCAGATTTTTAGCGGTGTGAGCCCTCAGACTTACCGCTAGAGGGGATAATAATAATAAAGTCAGCTTTCTGTGAAAAACTTGTAGGCAAAAACCAGTTCTACATATCATTATTTTTATCTTGAGGATTGTTTATTTTTTTATATATCTGAAGTGAAACTAATAGAGCCATTTTTGAATTATTGCTTTCACAAGTCTTTTTTTATCGTTAGATTTTTCAAAAAATACTTTGTCTTTTCAAACAAAAGCATTTCATTATACATTTAGCAGTCATCACTGTAGAGCAGTTTGGTTAACGACGTCACTGACATCACAAAGTAAATTACATGTTAATCTTTAATTAGACGCTAATAACTCTCTTGGTAGTTTTGAAAATTGCCGACAGAAGACTCTTAGTGCTCAATAACTTTTTACAATATTAAGATCTTTTTGATATAGAGCTTGAGAATGACTCTATAATTGATATTTTTCGAAGATAAAGTGTTAATATAATATCAATAGAATAACAAGCAGCTTAATTCATTTGTTCCAGGCTGGTTGTAAGGTTAGTATAGTTAAGTACGATCATACTAGTGTAATTAACAATGAAAGCTCAATGACATCTGATGTTATCATTGATGTTTGCTTAGCTTGTAGTCATAAAAGTGAGAATTTCATTTAGAACGTCATAAGCTCGTAATGCAATCCAGCTTTTAACACTGAAGCAGGCAATGTCCTCCGGAATGATACCACTAGATGGCGATGGTTTTCAAACGATTTGTTTGTTTGTCTTGAAGTTAAGCACATACCTACAAAATGGGCTATCTGTGCTCTGCCCACCACGGGTATCGAAACCTGGTTTATAGCGTTGTAAGTCCGCAGACATACCGCTGTACCACGGGGGGGTCTTGTCAAACGAGACCCAAAACTTGAGCGCTTTCGAATAGTTCACTATTCTTTTTCAGGAAACTAGATGGCGATGTTAGAGATTTCACTGTTTCTTCATTCTTCATATCATGATCTTGGATCTATTCTTTGGGCGTTATTTTGATAATTAGGGTATTTGCTTTGGTTATCTCTTAAATGTGATTTAATATATTTTTTTTATTTGTTTCTAAAATAACGTTCTGCAACCCTGAGGTGTATGTGTATATGTACATATATAAAATGATCTTAATTGATTGCGGTTTTACTGCGCAAAACCGTGAAGATCATCTGCGTCAAACGGTTTTTTCTAACAATAATCACAAAATTAAAAAGTAAAGTTAATTGCATAGAACAAAAATATAATAAAATTTTTATCCGCAAAAAAGAGTAAAAAATTAAACAGTGTGAAATAGGCCTAGATCCGTTAAAAAATAAAAACATAGTAAATCTGGACAGTGTCGTCTTTGACAATGACAGTTGTCCAACGTTAAAGGAATCTTTGGTCAAATGTCATAATGATGGAATAAAAGTATAAAACTGTGTTACGTTGGTTGTTCAACCACTTTAATACACTAGTTTCTAGTCTACATAATATTCGATTTATCTTGTAAGCCTTCCCTATAAAACTGAGAAAATAGTGTGAAATGTGATATTCATATAACAAATTATAATGTTTCCACATTTCTATTTTCGTTGAATATGAATGTTTTCTTGAGTCTGTTGCTCATACCCACTTTATTTCCACCGTTTCTTTAGATCTCTTCCTTATACCCACTTTATTTCCACCGTATACTTGGATCTCTTCCTTATATTCATTTTATTTCCACCGTTTACTTGGATCTCTTCCTTATACCCACTTTATTTCCACCGTTTTCTTGGATCTCTTCCTTATACCCACTTTATTTCCACCGTTTCCTTGGATCTCTTTCTTATACCCACTTTATTTCCACCGTTTACTTGGATCTCTTCCTTATACCCACTTTATTTCTACCGTTTCCTTAGATCTCTTTGTTATACCCACTTTATTTCCACCGTTTACTTGGATCTCTTCCTTATACCTACTTTATTTCCACCGTTTACTTGGATCTCTTCCTTATACCCACTTTATTTCCACCGTTTACTTGGATCTCTTCCTTATACCCACTTTATTTCCACCGTTTACTTGGATCTCTTCCTTATACCCACTTTATTTCTACCGTTTCCTTAGATCTCTTTGTTATACCCACTTTATTTCCATCGTCTTATTTTCTGTTTATTTTCCTGTTCTGGCCGGGATTGTTGTGCAATATCCAACTTGACTTCAGTCCATAAGAACATCACTAACCCATGTAACATATAGTTTCTTTTCAAATTTTTATGTCATTAAATTCAGAGGAGCAGGAAGAGGCCAAAACCAAAGGAGGACGTTTCCCTGCTCAAGGTAATGCTTTTTTTTCTGCTTTTTACAATGGTTTTGCTATTATAAGTTGTGACAAACACTTTAAGGAAAGAGCTAAGAAAATGTGACTTTAGTGTCTTTCACATGGAACAACATTGGGGGTCTTTCTTCTTGCTTGTTCGTGTGGTGAGTGGATGAAAAACATTTCCTCTCTGTATTCTTCACTGCTTATGTATATTTGTAACAGACACCTCAATTAGGGTTTGCAACAGAATCGGCAGTACCAGGTTGCTGGTACTCGAACATCTCCATTCATGTGACTTCAGCAGTTAGAAATTCAACTCTTCTTCCCAGTGTGATCTAATAGGAAATGTTTTTACAGAATCGGCAGTACCAGGTTGCCGGTACTCGAACATCTCTATTCATGTGACTTCAGCAGTTAGAAATTCAACTCTTCTTCCCAGTGTGATCTAATAGGAAATGTTTTTACAGAATCGGCAGTACCAGGTTGCCGGTACTCGAACATCTCTATTCATGTGACTTCAGCAGTTAGAAATTCAACTCTTCTTCCCAGTGTGATCTAATAGGAAATGTTTTTCACTTCAAACAAAACTGTCAATTATCTGTAAGTCCACGTGGTATGACGACTATGGCAATGAGTCAGTTGAAATCTACGCTTTCTATTGTTACAAATTTAATTGGAGTCAGCCTAATAAAAATCTATTAGCAAATTGTGAATTAGAGCATGTCAGAGATAGGCGTGGAAAGTGATTTCTAAATTTTCATTGATTGCTCTTTAGCCCCATAAGATTGAATAATATAAAAATATAGCTTCAGAATATCAATGATGAAATTATATAGAATATTGTACGCTACATTTCGTAGTTTTCTAGGGGGGTGGACAAAAAATCCAGAATAGGAGACGACTCAAGAACAAATATCCAAATTTGCACACTAGGGGGAATTTGAGGTTGTTTTTAAATATTTCCTTATATAATTGAGAACTTAAACCTATATAATATTAACTTTTGATTTATTATCTATGGTTTGATGTCAAATATGTTCGTATACCATGATAATTAAGTAGTTTGATTAAATTTTGAATGCAACTCACTAAAACGCCGTGACATGCGCAATCTGACCTGCCCGCATGCTAAAGGTTAATCACGCACGCACCTACTTAACGTAGGCACATTCACGTTCTCTTCCAGAGCGTGGGAGTCACCAGTTTCACATATTTCATATTATTGCTGATTTTCACGGTTAGATTCGCTTATTGACTGAAGTATGAACTCAAAACTACCACATCGAACATTTATAATTCTGTGAAAAGCGAAGCTGAAATACCAGAGGAGGCGTTTGGTCAAAACTCCGAAGATGGGACACGTGATATTATTCTCAACATATGATATATTATAAACCAGCACCGGTACCGCTGGTACTGACAGCCCGGTACCAGTAGTGGTACCGACTGCAAACCCTGATCTCAATGCTTTAATTTCCTGATGAGGTGTTTGCCTTGGTTTTTAGAAAGATTATTGCATCTGGATAATTGTCTACAAACTTAAGTCTAGCACAATAGAAGGCCAAGTTCAGAAGATGTATTTATGTTTAGTAGCTTAAACATAAATATTGATTCATTTTAGTTAACTTTCTTTGATTGTATTAAATGTTCTATTTATGTGTAGTTCATTTTGTAACACATATTAGTGTTCAGTAGGATGAAGTGTATAGCCACAAGACAACACAAAAAAGTGAACAACATGTCCGATTCGGTAATGAAACAAAATATCTAAATAAAAAGTAACTCTGTTTACAAACTAGATTGCGCAAGCCAGAACCTGGTTATTTTGAACCAAACAATATGTAATACACAAAAAGTGTCTTGAAAATTCTGCTAACTGTTGTTCGTATAACGCTCCAATTATCCTGTTTTTATAACCAAGTTGTTATTATTATCATTTTGTATTTGACTGATCTTTATTGTTACTACCAGTGGTTTCATTTACGGATCCTTTCATTTTAAGTCATTAATTCAGGATTTTTATAAAATAAAAATAAAACTCAAGATTTTCAGAAACTAGCTGCCAAGTGATGCAAATAGGACACAATATTAATTTGGAGGAAATCTAAGGATTAATGCATGGACGGGTTGAAGGTAATATTTTCAATAGATAGGAAAGTTGATATGAATAATAATTAAATAAATAATATTAACAAAATTATAGTTTTGACTTTACATTCATAGAAAAAAATCGCGATCTTCGGTCGTGGAGAAATGTACAATTTCCTGTAATTCGGAATGAGACGAGGTCTACAGATCTAAGACCTAAGGAAGGTGAGGATTTTGTTGGTTTGGTTTGTTGGTTTGTTGTTAAAGCATAAGCTACACAATGTGCTATCTGTGCTGTGTCCATCACGAGTATCGAAACCCGAGTTTTAATATAATAAACCTTCAGACTTACCCCTAAGTCATTGAAGGCAGGATTTCTGGTGAGACGTGTCAGATATCCAGTTGTCTAGATAAGTCCAGAGTGATATCAAAGCTTCTAGTAGGGTGCAAAATCTTATACCAGTTGTATTTTGTAGTACAAGACGATACTACGTGCCAGCTATCCCCTTAGCTATTTTTTGTTTTTTCAAAATTATTGTTGTTTTTCTCAGAGTTCTCACTTTGGACGCAAAGAGTCGCTTAAGTAACACTTTAATTTTCCTTATTTTGAGAGTATACAAAATGTGGGTTTGATAATTAGCAATTAACCGACTTTTTTGTAGGGAAAATAGCACGTGGCGTTCTGAGATAGAAAGCTATCTTTCAGTAACGTTAGTAACATTTGTAGCTTTTGGGATACTTAAACTTAACTTTTGACTTGAAGTTCTATGATTTTTGAAGTAGCTTGTTTTGGAATTGTAGTTTATTCTAAAGACGTTGTTTTGGGGGAGTGGTCACATTTAATTTTGGTTTAGAGTTATAGTTTAACTTAAAGGGTGAGGGAACAGTGAACTGTTAAGAGTTTTGAATAATAATATCTTCATTTTACTGTTATCAGTTCGGCACACATCACTTCACATTTGCCCTCATTGTATTTTTGTTATAATGTATTATTGTTTTTAATAGTACAAAAACAACTGTTCCTCGTGTATTTATCAGTGTCGAACCTTTCTTCTAGACCATTCCAGTTGTAGACCGGAGAGTTCGGTACACTCCAGAGTCCGGTATTTTTCAAACTACAGCTAGTGGGCCTAACTGACTGCTCTGCGGGAAGGCCACGAGTATCGAACTCAGTATTATTGGTATGAGCCCTAATACTTACCGCTGAACCATTGGGGGCAACATGATGGTTAATAAATAATTATTTTTTGTCGAATTTCGTGCAGAGCTGCTAAAGGGCTATCTGTGCTAACCATCACTGCTCTTGAAGTGATAGACTAGAGGGAAGGCAGCTAGTGAATAACACCCACCGCCAACTTTTGGGTTTCTCTTTAACAACGAATAGTGGAATTGTCTGTAACATTATAACGGTCCCCACGGCTGAAAGGTGAGCATGTTCGGCGGTGGAATTCGAGTGCGCGACTCACAGCCTGCGATTCAAGCATCTTAAACACTAGGCCATGCCAGGCTCTCTAATAAATAATCCCAGAAGTTTTACAACTATAAACTAGTGATCTTAAAACGTTAAGATTTAATTTCATTCGAAAAAATTAGACGCCATTTTCGGCCTTTTAATGTAATTGCTGAGTTCTCTAAGTAAGTTTTCGCTCTACTGTTCATTGATTTATAATTCTAGATCCCTACACTTACGAGAAAACACTAGTGTGGCTGTTGTAGGAATTTTGTTTTTAATTGAGAAATTTGGGTTTATGATCAACTGAAGAAATATATCTATAAAACTCGTAATGTGACTAACTATTAGGTGGCTAAATGGTAAGCATGTGAGCTTATAAGTTTCAATACTGAGGTTCGATATCCGCTGTGGGCACAGCGGATATAACCCATTATATGGTTTTGGGCTGAACAACAAAGTAAACATCGTATGAATAATTGAGCATTTTTAAAGCTTAATAAACGAGTTTTACTAATTAAGTATTACTATTTGTTTTATTAATTTAATTACTTCACGAAAATGTTATTTTTGTTGTTTTTAATGCTATTCCCATATAAGTCACGTGCCTCAAATGCAAGATAATTGATAATTGGTTTTAATGTGAGAATTCTTATTAAAAAATATGTTTGAGTAAGTGTTTTTTACGTCAGAGGAAGATGGTGGAATATTTCAAAATGTCAGGTGGTTTATTTTATATAATACTTTTTCACGTAAGAATAGGTTCTAAAAGATCACAACAGCCTTCATATGACCGCTCTATGATAATAGGAGCAGCTTCAAGTTAATGAGGTTGAGTTTTTTGGCATGTTTTAAATAAAATTATTTCAGATCCTTTGATTGGATTTGTTTCGGATGTTCACGCAGAGCTATAGGAGGGCTATCTGCACTACCTGTTTCGAATTTTGAGCTGATAGACTAGAGAGAAGGCAGCTAGTCAACAGCAGCCACTACCAGCTCTTGGGCTAATCTAAACGAATATTGGTATTTTACCATCACTCTTATAATGCACCGATGGCCCCAAAGTGCAGAGTGCAAATCCTGATACCAAAACTTTAAAACAGAATAAATCCTTTAAACTTCATTTCAAGGAAAACGTTTCCAATAACAAAATAACTTCTTCTGTAGCCTGTTGACGATTACAAGCATTGAAAAAAACCCACTTTTAAAACGAACGGTATGAAATTATATGTGTTTAAAAATGAGTTCGCGCATCTAAAGTTCCTTCCTTGAATTAAAATTTTCGTCCTTGATAAATACATTCATACTGGTTTGTTGTTGTTGTTGTTGCTTAGAAGTTTTACTGCGTAAAGCTATAAACGCATTATTATTTTTTGTTGAAGTAACAATAACATAAAAGTAAAACTTAATTATATAAAACATGCTAAAAATATGATCAATTTTGGCGGTGTCACCTTTTCCAACTATACTATCCAAAATCAAAGGGGTTTGGTTTTTGGTTGTTGCTACAAAATAGATTATCTGTGCTCTACTCCCAGGGTATCGAAACCAGAATTTTAGCGTCTTAAGCCTGCAGATTTACCGCTAAGCCACTGAGGGGGTGCAAATTAAAGAGACACCACGAGTTAAACCATGTTCAAAAGGTGCCACAATGGTTAATATTGGAAATTAGCTATTTGTATTTGAGAAACATATAATTCTTCTATGTTAGTTTATTAGGTACTGGATTTTTACTTCTGAGATAGTACATTTAATGAGTTGAAATTTCGATGACTGATGCAGTTTTTGTTGCTTCAGGTTGTTTCTTAAGTATAACTAGACCCAGGCTAAAAGCACAAATCAGCTCACTGGAAAAAGCTTAGTTTATTAGGCCTAATTTATAAATCGACTAGCAGGACTTCGTTATACTTTCTTTTTCAATTGATGTTTTGAATTATCTGGTTTTATTGTGTGTTGTTATTAGTGGTTTATAGACAGTTACTTGATTCCTGAATGATTAAAATCTTTCTAATAAAACAATCGTATAGAGTGTATCTGGAAATCATCTCTAGTATAGGTGGTGCCTACGTTTTATAATTTCATTTTTACAACATTTCAAATATTCTGTTTTTTTTATAGAACTCCAAGACTGCCTAACCGCCCGGAAAAAAGCGCAAGAAAATCCAGATAATAGTCTGTATATTCCTCGTTGCAAGAAACGAAATGGTCTATATGAAGATATTCAGTGTGTCAAACCCAAGAACAAACCGCCAACTTGCTGGTGTGTTAGGCCTAAAAATGGCAAACCAATTCCTAGAACTACAACACATGGCAGCCGGCCACCTTGTAGGAAGATGAGAAAAATAGCCAAGAAATTTAAAGGTGAATACATGTTCTAAAGTAAAAACAAATTATAAAATCTGCAATATTGATCACTTGAAAAAAGAGGAGGTTGTTTTCTAATTTCTGAATGACTTCATTAGATTCAAAAGACCCCACTAGAATACCAGTTAATTAGACCAAATATGTAGTAGATAAAAGAATTTTTACAAGCAAGCATTCGATTTTGTGCTAATCAGAACGCTTGTTAGACTTCTGTTTGGGCTATTTGACCTCTACTAGATAATCCAATTCCATAAACCAATGTAGATATTTGACTTTTTATCAAGTAGGTGATTCTGTTTAAATGTGTTTTTTTTTCATTAATCACAAAACTAATCTAGACAAACTGTATCCTCCAAAGACGTAGGAAATCAGTGGTTATTGATTTCTAGCGTTAATCTTCTTTGACTGATGAAGGTTTATATTGGATGAAAAAGCATATTCCAGCTGGTTATGATTTGAGTTTTGTTTTCCAGTGGCAGTAATATACATATTAATTCACGAAAGAAAGAAAGTGTCATTAAACGAATAACTTGTTATTTAAAGACATGTTTATATCCCGATAAAAACCAGTTTTCGCTGCTGACAACAACTGTTTTTAACCAGGCCAAAAATGCCAGGTGCTAGATTTCGGTACAGAGACTTCTAAAGATACCCCTTAAATATTAACTCAAATTTATTGGAAACATGAAAAAGACGATCTACTCAAAAATTAAAGTATATAACTGATCAAAAGCAATTTTTTGTACTACATTAAAAATACAAATGCTGAAAGGTTTTGGGTCCTTGGTGCAGTGCACCCTTCGATCCCATCCTTCACACCTAGCACCGGTACTATCTTTACCTACAACAATATTTGCTGGTGACAGCAACAATTAACGTCTTTCGTTTTTCTATCTGGTGCCACTTTGGTTTGTTTGTTTGTTTTGAATTTCGCGCAAAGCTACACGAGGGCTTTTTTCTGCGCTAGCCGTCCCTACTCTAGCCACTTTGGTACACGATTAAGAATTGCACTGAGAAGTCAGAGTTTTGAGCTGAAATGACAGTGTTGCAGGAGAGTGTTTAAGTCAATAGGGGGCCACAGGGCAAAGTCCCCAGTGAGGACAACCAGTGTTATATTATTTTAAGCCTATTCCTTAGTAGGTAGTAGTATGCCAATTAATCAGAAGTCTTGGAGAAATGTGATGCTGTGTACCCGCTTCTAACCAAACGTTATAACTAAATAAGGCTGAGAAATTGTGGGTTCGATTCATAACATAGCCTAAAATTTAAAACTGTAAGTTAACTAATTTTTAAATGCAATTAGTCAAATTTGATTTGCCTGTAAAATAGTTCGAATGAAATTAACAAATTATTTTTTTTTATTTAAACGTTTACCATTTATTTTAGTTTTGCACTATATATATAAAATAATAAGCAAAAAACAATACAACACATCTAACACCTGACACACCACGAAAACGAAGTCCATTTTTTTAGATTTTGCCATTTTACTTACACCTTCGTTTGGAACCTTATCCAATATTTAGGCACGACTTTAGTTTCCTGAAAACCCAACTGATTCTTTGAGAGAAAATTGCGGGAACAATTAAGAGTTTAGTTATAAGTACACAACTGTTTCATTATAATAGATAGATTGTCTGGAACAAACTTTTTAAAGTCGTGATAGTCTTAAATACAACTAAATGGAAGAGCCTTAAACTAATCACTTAATTTTTGATGGACAGAATCTTGCAACTAAAACAACGTCATAATATAAGTTTTGAACAGTTTGATATATATATATATACATAGCCATAACCTTCGAATATCATACAATTAAATGTATATTACAATGAAGATGTAATCGTTATACAAATGTTATTGTAGTAGTTTTTGTAGCTACGAAATTACTTCACAAAGATTCTGATTAGATCAGTAAAGTTAATACGCTGCTTTTGTTATTTTACACTCAGAATGATAGATTTTAGTGGATTATGATGATTAAGCGAAATATGATTTTTTACAAACTGATTATTCTAGGCTGCCGAATTAGAAAGAAACAAAAGTTCTTACCACTATTTATTGACTACATAATGCAAGAAATGTTGGAATCAACAAGAAACATATCGTTAAGGTAAGTTGAAATCAGTTACAAGTTGGAGAACAGGAGGAGGAATGTAATGAATACAACAGTTGACGTGTCTTTGCTTCTTCTACTTGCAATAAAATAGGAAGACAAATATTCTGCAATCTGTTCTGTTTAACTTACCCATTTTTCCTTATATCTTTACCGGGCTTGCCATTTATATAGCTCAGAACTTTTCTGATATGACATCTTTACGTGGCTGACCCCTTTAATCTAACTTAGCTTTTTTTGTACGTGTAAAATATTTTGATCAGGTATCACTACTTTATATTCTGACAAGCGATATTACTTTTATTACTTTGTAGGTGTTATGAAGCTGCAAACTTTGCAGTTCATGAAATAATAGCTTGTATAAATATCTAAATATTTTGTATAATAAAACTAATATTTTTGTCCATTTATAAGTCCCATTATGCAAACTTTAATCTTTTTCTTCTATATTTAAAAGCGTTAAATGCTTTTCATACAAAGTGATTAGATTTTTTGATTAAATATGTTGTTAAGTTCTAAAATAAAGCACTTCTTTTTTTGTATTGCCTAAAGACTGCGTTAGTTCGTTTAAGCATTCTGTTTTTGATGCTGAAAAAGAGCAAAAAAGAAAACTAAAAAAAAACAGCAGCGGTATTTTTGCCACTCTTTCGAAAGTTATTTCTCTTAATATATAACAGACACAATAAATTTTATCTGCTATATTATTCTACAATTAATTAATATTCCACGTGAAGTGGAATTCAAATCTCATCCAGCAGAGAAAGTTATTAACTCAGTTCTAACGTTACAGACCAGTATGTCATTCCCTCATTTTAGATTTTTGTATATGCCTGTAGGTCCTTAAGTTAACCATTTGTAATTTAGAGATCGTGGAGGGCAATTCAATGTTAACATTACTAAACAGATATTCATAGAGATATTATATAAATATATGTGCTACTGTTCTCAATGAGCCCTAGTTTAGATTAATATCTTAACAGTGGAATTTTTTTACCACTGCTTTTGCCTGTTCAATAAGAACAACAATTTTACTACTTTTTAATTGTTTATTTCTTTTAATCTAAGCCATATATGGATGTTTCTAATGTTATGTAAGAATGTTTAGATCTGTTAAAAAACATAAGAATAGTGACATTCCAGTATTTGGAACAACTGTGGCAATACTCAAAATTTGAGTAAAATTTTGGCTCTGTCATGGCAGTGTCACTCTACCTTCTAACTTGGTTGGAGTTACTACCGAACCTAGAAATATGTCTATCTATCACATCAAAATTTATGATATAAAATTAGGCTTACAATAGTTTTTTTCTAAATCTTCTAACCACATGTTTGAAGAAATAACTTCTGAACGACTGAGTTAACTTGTAAACCACAAACATCCCACATACGTCTAAACACTATTGACATTTTTACATAAAAGAAATAGTTGGTAAAATATTTTTTCTATACGTCTATACATTTCATTTATAATATCTTAATAGAATGAATATATATTTTTTGTTCTCTTTTTTTGAGAAATCTAACACGAGAAACTCAACTTATTTAAAACATTTCATTGTAACATTTTATTCTTGAAACAAACGTTTCTTTTTTATTTTCATGTATGATATAAATAAAATATATCGTTTGTTTTGAATTTCGCGCAAAGCTACACGAGGCTTTCTGCGCTAGCCGTCCCTAATTTAGTAGTGTAAGACTAGAGGGAAGGCAGCTAGTCAACTCTTGGGCTACTCTTTTACCTACGAATAGTGGGATTGACCGTCACATTATAACGCCCCCACGACTGAAAGGGCGAGAATGTTTGGTGGGACGGAGATTCGAATCCGCGATCCTTAGAATGCGAGTAAAGCGCCGTAACCATCTGGCCATGCCGAGTATATCGTACATATATATCTATATATATATTTGTCTGTATTTTTAGTAATACAGAGGGTTAATTGCACTTTATTATAGCATTAAAACAGTGGCGTTTCAACACATATGTAAATGTGGCATCAGGGGCGACATGCTTAGTACAAAAATGTATTTGTCTTTCGGCAATAATAGGTTACAAATAGAGAAATGTATTACAATCCTTTTAAAGGAAGGATATTCGTTTAGCAAGATCATACGACGATGTAAGAGCCAAAGAACAAAACACGTCGAAGAAGGGCCCTATGGAAGCGGGAAAAACCTCAGTTTAAGTTTCTTGTGCTTGCCATTTTCTTATTTTGTCACTTTGTTCAACATTTGATTGCTTATTTTTCGCTGTACGTTGTAAGTCCATTACTACAAGTAACATAATTTCGAATTGAGTGAAAAAAAGAAAGTTAATTTTCGGTTAACTTAATAGTAATTGAAACTTCTGATACTGAGGCAGTGCATACTAATAAAACTTCAGTTTTTCTAACCGGTTCACATGTTACTAAAAGTAGTAGTGTGTCAGATTCAGAAACCAATTTGTGATGTATTAAATTCAAGTGACTGAATATCATGAGGTAACTTTATAGTTCGTCATATGAGCTTATCGGGTGTAATTAATTTGAAGTTTAGAAATGGAGTAACCATGTAGCTATATTAAGAGTAAAAAAACCCACAAAAACCGACGATTTTGGACACAAGGAAAGGTAAAATCTTTATTATTACTTACAGCCGACTTGTTTCTGTAACATAGTTACCATAATCAGTCTTAGATGGGCAATTGTGTTATCGAAACTCGTAATATGGTAGCAAAATGTGCCTGAAAATAAATTAACTATGTAGCTATTTTATGATGTCAAGTTGAGAAATTATAAGCTTTTCTAATACTGAATTCTGTAACAAGTTATTTTGAAACAATTTTAAAATATAGAAATTTTAAGTAAACTATAGTAGATAGTAAGAAATTAAGTAATAGATTATGCTCGGATATAAAGATGATTTTTACATACAGCACCAGAAGTTATACGAACTACTCATGAGCATGTGAAATAAGATGCCTTACAAGAAACACAGTGAGAATAAATAGAAATACACTTGGTGTAGCCCCCCAGTGGTACAGCGGTAT